CTACTTGAATTACTCATATTCTATTCAAATGAGGATAGTAAAAACATGTATTTGAAAAATAAAAAGTGCCAAATTAAAATTTTAAATATATATTAATTAATATTGCTCGTTAAAGAAAAATGTGTAAAATTTTATTTTTAGGACATCGTTTCTATGTTTGTTCACGCAAAGTATGATGGCGGTTCTGAACAAGACTCGCACCAATTTCTCATTTTGCTGTTAATTAAGCTTGCCTCTGACACAAGCAGAGTATGAACTTTTAGCAATTTTAAAAATTAAAACAATTTTTAAGGGATACGAAGAGTTGACCACAAATTTGATGAATTATCCGAATGCCAATCTAATTGAAAATGGCCTAGACTACTTAACAAAGCAAAGAAATATTTCATCGCCGTCGTGTCAGACATTTTCAATAATGTTCTGTGCACAATATCAAAGTGCATGATGTGCGGACAAAATACCACACATTTCAGCAAAAGGTAAAGTAATAAAATTTAAATAAAAAACAAAACAAAAAAATTAAATTTACTTATTTTACTTTTAACACATTAACTTTTAATATAATGACATTTTCATTTTGTCAACTTTACTTTACCAACTTTCATTTTATCTATTCTCTCTCACCCTTTGGATTAGGATTAGATTTTATTTATGATCTTCGTTCCTAAGATCATTTGGAAAGTTTTTTTAAAAAGATTACATCGACCACCATGATCTCCAATATTAAATATAATATTTTTACAACGATTTTTTAAAAATTTACTACAAACGATTTTTAAAATTTAATTTTTTAAAATAAGTTCTAAATTAAGTTAGAAATTTTATTTTCATGATTAAAATTTAAAAACTAAAAAAGTTACAAGTCAATTAGCTGAGTTATTTTTCGGCTAAAAAGAGAAAATTTTGTTGGATTTGTAAAAGAATATAAATTATTTTATGGAATTTGGATAAGTAAAAAAAGAAAATTTAATAAAATTTATAAAATAATGTTTCAAAGGAAATTCTTATTCTTTTATTTTAGCTTAACATCAGCATACCTGTTCTGCTAGAAGACCACGACGTTCTATCCGGTCTCAACAGGTGCTTCAATTCAAAAATGGAAGCTTGCGTCAATTGCACAACTTACTGCCACAAGGAAAACAGGATCTGGAAGATTCCTGATATCCTTATCCTCCGCTTATTCAAAGATGAATCAATAAGAAAGTAAAGAAAAGTAACTGACATAAAACATTCCCCTTAATTATAGTAATGTGACCGAATTTCCTCAATGTATAAATTTATTTTAACTACACATTCCACAATGGATCTTGCCATAGTAAATCTAGTCCTTAAAAATAGAATATTATTTAAACTCAGAATATTAAAATCTAGCTCATGGGAATATATTACAAAATAACCCCCATATTTTAAATACAATTCAAATATCGTCATCAAAAAATAATTCCAAAAGAATAACTTTTATATATAAAAGCAGACTGGGAATAAAAAATAAAAGAGAATAATACATATATTCGTTTCTCTAATTTTTGTATTGTTTTGTAGATGTTTTTGAACGTTAAGTTTTCAAAAAATATTTCAAATAAAAAAAATAATTTCAAAAACAATACACAATTTTGTAATAGGGACAGGATAAATAATTGAAGATCGAAATTAAATGTTCACCATAGTTAAATTTTTTGTAGAAAAAAATCGGGGAAATATCAAAGAATTTTTTACATTGTCAATCAAAAACGACAAAAATGGGTGTATGTATTACAATAGAATAATATTATAGGCGTAACCAAATTTATAAAATTTCCACGTCAAAATATGAAAAAACTTTCCCCTTTGACCCCCTTAATAAAATTTTTGGTTACGCTTATACCAAGGACGTAGCTAATGGAGAATTACAATAAATCTTAAATATTAAAAATTTTCAATTAATTTCCCTTTAAATTTCCAAAGCCACTCCCTATTTTCACTAACAAAAAAAATTAATTTAAATATACACATATCTTTAGATCAAAGCAATTCCTTCCTCAAAATTTCATAAACAACTCTCTCACGGAAATATGGAACATGTTGCTGTGAAAATGTGATTGGCGCTCTTCGAGAAGCATATTCTGCAAACAAAATTGAAAACATTCCGCAGTCCCACATATTTTTTTGATTTGGAATATCCTTAAAATTATGATTATTTAAGATAAAATTATTATTTAAAAAACCTTTCGACAAGTAAACTCCCATCCAGTCATGTCGAATGGTCTCTTTCTTTTATCCATAGATTCTTCAGCAAGATAATTGCTAAAAATCAAAAATGATTTATCTCCTTGGGGAGGAATTTTAGAAAGAAGTAACTGAAGTGAGGAATATCGTTCGATATTCGATACCTCACAGGCACGTAAAAAATTAGCTAGAGGGCATAATAGATATTAACGTGATCTCTAGTAAAGTGAGGGCTTTAAAAAAATCAAATTCAAACCTTAACAATTCCAAGCATGTAAAGTTGTCAGCTTTCAGGGAATCATAATAATCAATTTTGCGTTCCTCAAAATCAATAACCTTCAAAAATATTTTCAAATAATTTTTTTAAATTTTTCTATTACCGCCATACACCAATGATTACCCAAATGTACTGGAACAAAAATCATCTGATTGTCAAAAATATCAACTTTCTTTGTCCAACGTTTCACACTCGAAAAGCCTTTACCAGAAAGGTTAACATAAAAATAGGTGTTAAAAGCATAAACCTTTTAAATTTAGAATTAGAAATTTATTTTTAAATATATATTACTTTAGGTAATTTTCTATTGACTTTGCTTCTATCAACAATCAAGTTGATATAAAAGTTGATAACTGAAAATATCTTTTTAAGTAATTTAAAAACTAACAATAAGAAAAAGAAAGCGACAAATAGACAGCCGAAAGATCAAACCCAAAATATAATTATAGCCCCGTAAAAGCAAATCAAATTATTCTTCCAAAAGCATTACCTTCATCATTAAGCCACTCTGCCCCACAAAGAGTCAACAAATCCTTACGAGCTATATCAACCCCATCAAAATTAGAAAAGACTTCATTGGGCGGAGCATATTTGTTCCAAATAATTCTAATAATCTGCCTGACGTTGTTAGGAATTTCTATAAAATTTTCAGTATTGAAAAATATTTTTAATGAAAAAAACCAGGAAATTCTTCACGAGGAGGTTCACGTCGCTCCAAAACAAGTCCCTCAACTTGAAGACGCAATCGAAGCATTTCCTGTTCATTAATTTTCCGATTATGTCTTGAAAGTTCTCGTTCTGCCAATTCAGCTTCCAACTCTTTAACTGCTCTCAGACGATTTTCTTTTTCATCAATATACCTCTGAGAACGCCATTGATGGTGTGTATTTGGCAAAGGAGTAGAAATCGACCTTCGAGTAACTGCTTCAGCGTTTGGACGAATTTGTGGCTTTACTTGGTTAGGAAGGCTGGCTTTCTCATTCTTTGGTGGAATAGATGGTTCAGACGTGGCTACTATAAAACATCTATAAATTTAGAGAAAATTAAAACCTGAATTATTTCTTGGTCGAAAACCCAAATCAACAGAAGGAGAAGAATTGTAATGATTATTTTTAGAAAACAATGCAGCCCGAACAATTCCAGTCAAAGAAGTCCCATTGTTTGTACGCAAGTTGGGATAATTATTTGAGCTGGAGTGACCATTGGAATCGAAGTGGAACTGCGCATAAGTTGGAGTTTTTGACGTGTCCTAGAATTTAAAACAAATAAGACATTTAAATCGCTAGTTTTGTAACGCCTATCGAAAAATATAAAAAAACTGGAAAGACAAAAGCACAACTTTACAAAATAACAATTTTCGGGTAAGGAAACCATTGACAGTTCGATCCCTGGTTCCAATTCCAAATCACACACTTAAAGTTCCAAGTAAGGCTTGCAATCACAAAAAAAAAATTTTAAAGCCCCAAAAAAGAAAACCTTTGTAGTCAAGCCAATCAATTTCTTCAATCTCTCCATTTTTTCTTGAATGCTCAAATATTCAGTTTTGGGCGGAATTTTTAATTGTTGCCTTCGTTGAAAATCATTCCATTCAGATTTATGTAAAACAGATTTTAAACGATTAGGTGAAGAAGTAGAGTAAGGTTTAAAGCGTTCTGAATTTCCACGTGGCAAACTAAATAATGATCCAAAATGCATATTTTGTTCTAAAAAAAGTAAAAGCGTTCTAAAATACTAATTAAGCTTTTCTAAAATATATAAAACAGTTAACGACAATTAAAATGAATATATTTAATTTTTAGAGTAAAGTCTAAGTTGTTTTTAGAGGAAAAAAGTTATTTTAAAAAGGAATTGTTAATATTTAATTTTGTAAATAAATAGTGAACCGAAAGCCAAGCCTATCACCTATTGTTTGCTGATTACCCAAAATATTTGTTCGATATTGTTAAAAAAAGACCATTAGTAAAGCTCCATTAGTAAAAATTATGAAATTTGTTTAATCTGTGGTGGGACAACTCAGTCTCGTAAAATTTTTATTTTTAGAGGTTCGTTCTCAACAAACATGTTTTATAACTGAGTGCAAAAGAAATAAAAATTTTGATCATGATTAACGAAACTTTGATTCTCGAACCTACAAATTGCTGAAAAACTAAAGAAAACTAGAGCTATGGATTTTGAAAAAACCTGGACCGAAAAGAGTAAATAAAACTGAGGGCACTGGGAAGGACCCGGCTCGAGAAAACAACAAATTCACATGTAGGATTTCTGCCTGTGCAAGGATGATCGGATTGCCGATCCGGGAAACGAGACTCTAAAAAAAGAAATTTCTATGAGACTGAAACGTCTTTTCGCGGGAAAAAACTTTGGCGTTTCGATTTATTAATTTCTGCCGAAAAATTTTTCTGCCAACAATCAATAAAATTTTTTTTGTTTTTCCTAACGAATTTTTCTAAAATTGTCGGTTTTTTATTTTAATTATTTCTATTGTAAACTTTTTTCAGATAAGGTAACAAGTTTAATACAAAATGATCGGTTCGAAAGTGTCAGCTTCATCCTCTACAATTGACAGTGATTTTGATTTGGTCAGCGCACATTCTATGATTAATACTTTAAAATTAAAAAAGTGTATTGATTCTCCAAGTAACAAAGAAAATTTTTTAACATCAAAAAGCAAAGGTTTTTTTATAAAAATTTAAATTTAATTAATTTTGTTTCTCAGCTTCTTCCTCACAGAATAATTCAAAAAAACTTCCAAACACTTCTCAATTAAACAAAGAAACTAATTCGAAAGACAATGCTGTTCTTCTCCAGAAACTTAAACAAGCCAAAAAGGCCCTAGCCAAATATCAGGAAGACAAAAATCGTTTGGAATCTGAATTAACTCAAAATCGCTCTTTAATGGCTCAAATTTTGTCTTGCCAAATTACGGCAAAGAATAAGACCCGTGTTAAGAATTCGTCACGTCCGAAAGAATATTTTCCGTCAGATGATCGTTGTGTTGGGATTAAGGTAGGAAATAAATTTTTATTTTTTAAATTATTCTTTTTTAGACATTTGATTCACTTGCTTGGATTCCTTTGCTTGAAAGACTTGAAGAAGAACAGGGTTTGTCTAATTAAATTATTTTCTGAAGAATTATATGGAGTTAACTTAAATTTATTACTTGGTTCAAAAGTCAGGGATTCCTTATTGAGTATAGTTGAAATAGGGTATTTTCTTGCTCTGATTTTTAGTAGATTTTTTAAACTTGCAATCAGATTTTTAAATTAATTTTTAGTATTTTAATCTCTTATTTATTTAGTCGATCTCTTCGTCCAAGTGCCTCCACCAATGATACCACGACTTTTGGATGGTAAAGGCGGCCTTATTTCTCAGACAGTAAGCATTTTTCGTTATTTTTTGCCAATTTAAATTTAGGTATTTAAAAGCCTTATCTCTCTAACGGTCAATGAGCATCAGAATAGTTCAATCGCCACTCCGCCATTTTGCATTATTCTCTTACCTTTTAGTCATGTTGTAACACGTTATCTAACTTATTTGAAAGGTTAACAATTTTTTATTTTTAGAAACAATTTTTTAATTTTAGACGAGGCTGTTAATGTTTTATTTACTCGAGGTCATATTTTAATTTTCTTCAGTTTTTAAAATTTATTTTAATACAGATGGTTTATTTAACATGGACTGCATTAATAAATCACCTTTTTATCCTACATTTTGTTTAACTACTTGCAATCATTTTTTAATTGAACTTGACAACGGAAATGATAAATTAAGTTTTTTAAATTACACTATTTATGCAAGACCTTTAATTTTTTAGCTTTATCACAATTAAGCTTTCATTTCTTTATTAGTATCTCAATAACTAAAAACTTTAATTTTTTAGATCGCCCTAAATAACCTCACACTTTTATTGTTGGACGAAGCTGATTTACTCATACATGTAAAAATTTTTCATTTTACTTCAAAAAACATTTTTAGGATGTTGATTTTGTTCGTTGTTTTATTGAAATTCAATCACTTTCTTGTGTTAGTTTTTTAATCTTTTTTTTCAAAAAATATTTTTTAGTTTTATCGGACTTTGATGTTTAGTCGAACATTGGATAATCAGACAAGCCCTCTTTTATCTGATATTTTAAAAGTTGGGTACAAGACGTTATTAATTGGTGAACGAGCATTTGAAATGAGTAATTCTTTTATTTATTTGTTAAAAATAATTTTGAGTTTTTTTTAGGTCATAGCAGTTTAAATTATTCAGAACAAAGCGAAGGCCGTCTTATTGATTTTGATGAAGAATCCTCTGTTTCTGAAAACGAATTGAATCAAACTGGACATTCAAATGAATTAATTGAACAACAACAGGGAGATAATGAGACTATTGATGTTTTTGTAAATTTGTCGACATTAAATAATGAAGAGGTATTTTTTAATTTGAGGTTTCAAAATATATCTCATGCCAGTTCAATTCTTTCCCCTTTAGCATATTTTTATTCCCAATTCTCCGTCTGTTATCCCTTCACTCCAGGCCCGTAGCCAGGGGGGGTGAGGGGGGGAATTCCCCCCCCCCCCGAAATGGGAAAAAGGAAAAAATTTGGGGAAGGGCTGGGGCAAAAAAAGTGAATTTTTTTGGCCTACGGCCTCTGAAATTTAAAAAATTTTCGCCTGCGGCGCTTTTTGGCGCCTTCGGCGCCAAAAATTTGGCGCAGGAAAAATTTTCCCCCCTTGGCCCCCCCCCCCGAAAAAAATCCTGGCTACGGGCCTGCTTCACTCTCATGGGGATTAGAATTACTGTTAGTTTAAAATTCATATACGTGTTTTGAAAGAATTACCCTTTATATTAACCTAAAATTTTAAAGCAGGATGATATTATTGTATCGAATTCTGAATTATCTCAACCATCGGAAACTAATGAATTAGGTGAAAACGTGGAAGAACAGAATTTAATTTCGAATAAAGACAGTTGGCCACTTGAATTCATTAACATTCGCCCTCCACCACCTCCTGCAATGTTGCCTTTTTACATGGGAAATGATGAAGAAATAAATTTTAACGAACAAGGGACTTCCTACCAAATTTACAACAATATTGAGAATGATCAACACCAGCATGGTCTGTCGTCATTTTTCGAAATTGAGGAGCAAAATCTGCAAAGAAATGGGCTTATAATTGATATTGACCACAGGCAATCTACTAGTACTCTTGGAGGTTAAATTTTAAGGAAATTAATTAAAAAATCATATTTTCTAGAAGCTTATCAAAGTTGTTTGGCATCATTTAAAAGTGCTTCGACACACACTTCAATCTCTAATCTCAGTTCTTTCACCGATGCAAATGTTATTTCTCGTCATAATCAGATGCTCAATAATTCTTCAAATCGCCAGCTTCAAGTAAAGGTTAATAATATTAATTAGAAAAATGGCAGGTGTTAAGAGCCATTCCGATTAGTACTAAATTCTACCTAGTTTATCCTATCTTCGGTTCCATGACCGAGACAGCGTCGTTTAAACATTAATCACATAAAAATTAAATTTAAACATTAATACATCGATTTTGTATTTCAGCGTTATCGAACAAAATCTTATGGAAAAGCAAAAATTGGAAAACTTGCTCCTGAATTTACTGCTGATGCTGTTGTTGATTCTGACTTTAAGACTATTTCGTTGTCTGACTACAAAGGCAAATATGTTGTGCTTTTCTTTTATCCACTTGACTTGTTTGTTTTTTTTTAATTTAAATTTATTGGAATACTTCCATGAATAGAACGACTGGCTTAATCTTAACTCGAGTGTTTTCTCAAATATTTTTAATTTTTGACTTTTTCCCAATTCAGCTGAATCCAGATAAAGTTCCTTAAACATACATAGTCTGACATTTTTAAATTCCTTTTATCTCTGAATTACCTCATGTCATTATTTACGATGTCGAAATAAACTGAAGTTTTTAATTCTAATTTTTCAGTACTTTTGTTTGTCCGACTGAAATAATTGCATTTTCTGAGAGAAGTGGTGACTTTACCAAAATTAACGTTCAATTATTGGCTTGTTCTACTGACTCTAAATTTAGGTTTTTTATTTTTATAATTTTTAATATTTAAATTTTTAGCCATTTTGAATGGATTAATAAGCCACGTAAGGAGGGAGGACTTGGGGAAATGAAAATTCCTGTTCTTTCTGATCGAAATATGAAAATTGCTCGCGATTATGGAGTTCTTAAAGAGGATGAGGGAATTGCCTATCGGTTTTTAAAGTTTTGAAATCCTAGAAATTTATCTTTTTAGTGGATTGTTTATTATTGATCCTAAAGGAATTCTTCGTCAAATTACTATTAATGACCTTCCTGTTGGACGCTCTGTTGATGAGGTTATTTTTAGAAATTAAGGGAAACATTTGTAAAATAGAGTTGGATGTCTATTTTTGGATTCACGAGTTTTTTTTTTCTAAAATCGTGTATTAATTCAAATTTAATTATTAAGCCTTTTAACATTTCTAGACTCTTCGTCTCGTCCAAGCTTTTCAATATACTGACAAGCATGGAGAAGTTTGTCCAGCTAATTGGAAGCCAGGAAGTGATACTATCAAACCAGATCCTAACAAAAGTAAAGAATATTTTGGTAAACAATAAATTGAGAGAGGTTATTTTTGGATAAAAGAATTTAAATAAGGAAAAGGAGAACGATATTAATTTTAAAAATTTTACATTTTTTTGATAATTTTACTTAAGCTTATTGCAATGATTTTTTAATTTAATTTTTGGATATGCATTTTAAAAATATTGATAACAAACGGATAAACCTCGATTATTAAATAAAATATTGTAAAAATATTTATTTCTACCATTGGAGAGAACAATGTTTTACGAAATGCTATTAAAAATATAAAGCGGTTATATATCCTTTTTATTGTGCTATTTTTTGATTTTAGTTCATCTTTCATTCAAAAAATTTGATTACTCAACCACAAGTAATTAAGAAAAAAACATCCTTTTCCTTCAAGGGCGTACCCATCCTCCAAATCCTCGTTCAAGTTCCTGGGCAGCAGCCATCAATAACGGTTCCGAATTGGGTGGTCCAGCAATTTGGACACTCAAAGGGATTTGCTTTGAGGAATCCAATCCTGTAACGATAAACAGACTTAAAGTCTAAATAAACAATTTTTGTGATTACCAACAGGACAGGATATAGCTGGGAAGCCCAAAATATTAAATAATTCTGTAAAAGCGAGATTCAAGCTTGTAAACAAGTCTTGGTGATGGAATGGTGCAAGTGTAGGCCATGTTGGCAAAAGAAGGATACCTTTGTCACCAAGTGCTTGTTTGATTTGGTGACGAAGTTTGTCAAGTTTTTTAAGCATCTTAAATGAAAAATGTTAGAATTAGACCGATTGAACTGTTTGGGTGGTATGTGGTAAATCAGAGTTGGGAGGATAAGAGAACATAATTGCATTCCCTAAGGGCCGTAGGCTAAACAAGGTGAATACTTTTAATTTCGCCTGGTCCAGTTCCATAAGCCCAACTTCAGGACTGACCCTAGTACATAAAAAAATTATTTTCTCACATATTCCTTTTCATTATCATCGCGTACATCTACAAATGCATGTATAAGAGAGAATATCCACGCACAACTAGTTAATTCTGATTTATCATTAAATACTTTTGGGAATTCTTTAAGAATGTCTGGAATGCTCTGAAATTTAAAAATTATTTTAAATTCCCCTTTCTCTTTTCTACAAACCAATGCGGGAGTGCCAAAGCCCAAAGCACCCCAAATTTCGTAGAGATGACTGGCTAATGGAAATTCAACTTTTTGGGCAGTAACATTAAATTCTGTTTCGAAGAAACGAACAGACTAAAGAAGTAATTAGAAAAAAATAAAAATTAATTTTACTTTTCTCAATGCTTGTAAAACTTCTGAATGAACATTTTCCATAAACCAAATATTTAAAATATCCATATAAATAATTTTAACTTGGCTAAAGTCAATTTGAAAATCCACCTCAGATTGTAACTTTCCGGAAATTATCTTTAAATAAATTGAAATTTAAAAAATTAAATTTAATGAATGTATCAAGTAATTTCCTTAAAAACCAAAAGAAAAAATACAAGGGAAATATAAACAAAAATTATTTTCCTTTCATAAGGGTTACAAATACGTCCATAAATTTTTTATTTGTTTGTTCATTATCAGCTTTACCCATTTTCCGTTAATTTTCTGTTAAGGGGCATTCACAAAAATTTAAGGGAAATAAATTCTTTCAAAAATAAGACTTAAAACAAATTGTTTGGCCAGACATTTTTTTAATAAAAAATTAGCGATAAATAATTTTTATAAAAAACCGATTTTTTGAAATCACTTCCCCAAAAATTAAAAAGTTTCAATTATCTTACACTAAAAACAAGAGGAAGGTCTTCAGCATAGCGACACAAAGGACCAATCGTCCATTGGGCTTTACCCATTTCTGTATCTATTTTAGGCGTAAAACCAATAAGCGAAACAGCATCTAAAAAATAAAATTCTTTTTCTAAAGATCTTCAAGAAAACCTTTTGTTGGTTTCAATCCAAAAACTCCACACATCGAAGCTGGAATTCTGACAGAACCACCCAAATCATTTCCCAAACCAAAAGGGGAAGCCCCAGCCCCAACAAGAGCTCCTTCCCCTCCACTACTTCCACCAGGAATTCGACGTAAATCATAAGGGTTACGAGTACGTCCATAAACTTTATTTGTACAACTCCAATTCATTGCCAATTTTGGTAAATTTGTTATAGCAATTAAAATAGCTCCAGTATTACAAAGTCTGAGGGAAAAAAAGGAATTTTTTAAATAATAATTCGTTTTAAAGCATTAGAAGGTTATAGATGAGAGATTTTGTTTTTATCTACAGTTAACCGATAAATTTTGTTATTTATCTTCTTTCCCTAAACGCAAACTTTCCCTAAACGCAAACGAGCATTTTTAAATAAAAGGACAAATATTATTTTTGATTTTTGTTAGGTCCCAACCACTCACAGGCATTATAATGATGTATGAATTATTTTAAAATGACTGATAAGGACCAGGAATTTTTTTTTCTCAAAAATAAACCTTTCAACAACAATACAATCCTTTTCCGCTGGTGGATTGTTAACAAACGGAGCATAACCAGCAACAGACACAAACCCTTTAACATCCATATTATTTTTATTGCTGAAAGGGACACCCAATAAAGGCTTATTTTTCTCCAACTAAAATTTAAAAAAAGAAAATTTTTTTCAAAAATTAATAATTTCCCAAACATTTTTGTATTCCTCAGAATTTTCATCTAAATTAGCCAAATAATTATCAACATTTTTAGCCTCTTCCAATGCCTTTTCAAAACATTCAGCAACAATAGCATTAATTAAAGGTTGGACTCGACGAATACGTGATATGTAAGCAGAGATTAATTGTTCTGAGGAAATCTTTAAAAAATAATAAAATTATGAGAGAATATCAAACAGAATTGAAAACAGCACAACAAATACTGTGAAACAAAAAAATAAGAATACTGCAAAATTACACTAAAAGGAGTGAATACTAGGAGAAGTTCGTGACCAGTTAATCACGATTCTCCCCTTGAGCCGCCACAGGCAAAAATTAACCGGTCGGAAAGGCCTATTATGAATATGCAATAGAGATTGAGCTGGGTCCGGATATTGCCTTCGGCCAAGGCCTTCTTTTTCCTTCGTTTTCCCATAGTCCAGGCCCAGACATTTTTTGACCTTCCTGGGTTTTTCCTGGACTACATGCCCAGGATCCGGTCCAGATTAATAAATCAAACCCAGGAACAGGCCCAGGCTTTTCAAAAATCTCGATTTATAATATGCAACAAGCAACAACCAAAAACACACAAATAAACAAAGAAATACCTCTTTATTTCTAATTTTCTCGGCAGCCTTTTTAGCCGACATAAAAAGAAAAGGACTTGCTAATTCTTCATTATTCCATTCAACTTTTGTTTTTTGTTTAAATAAATAAAATAAATTAAACCATTGATTAATTACAAAAAAATATATTTTTGTAAATAAATCGAGAAGTGGATATAATTTTTGAAGAAAAAAATAACGTAACATTTCTAAAATAAAAAATTAGTTTAAAAAATGAAGAAATTAAATTAATTTAGGGATTTGAAATTATTATAATGGGAAAAGAATTCTAAAGGATAGAGAGTTATTGTATTGTTTGGAGATTTATATATATTAATTTTATTGGAAGTTCTGTTGGAGTTTTGATTTAAAAAAGAATAATTTAAAAATATTGAAAGGTTAAAAACAAATAAATAATATTTAAAATCCATTTAAATTAAATTTATTCAAAAATGAGATCAATTAAATAAAATTGTAAAATATTAAATTTTAAGTAAACAAATATAAAAACAAAAATTAGTTAATTTGATATGTTGATTAGAGAATTTTAATTAAATTATTTTTTTTAAAAACTTGTTTAGTTAAGAACACAAAGTTTATATTTATTTATTTTCCTCTAAATTTCATTAATTTCTTCCTCTTTTTCTTGTTCACGTCTTTTTTCAAGTTTTTCACAACATTTTTTGTGAAATGGCCAATCAAAACGTTGACATTCGATTGAGCAATAATAAATCTATATGTTTTTAATTTTTAATTTTTTTTTAATTTAAAAAATTAATATTTTTATTAGTAAAAATGTTAATTTTTTTAGCTTAACATTTCTAAAATAAAATTTCAAAAAATTCAAAAATCTTTCAAAAAATTTTGGCGATAGAAAAAATAGAAAAGTGAATCAATTCCTACACTTTATATAAAAAATTAATTATTTTTTAATTGAAGAGATGCTAATTTAAAACAAAGAGTTTTGAGAAAAACTAATAAACTTTAACCTAAAAAATACTTAATTTAAATATTTACTTTACACTTTGGACAACGTTTCTTAGCTGAAGGAATTGAACAAGTTCTACAAAATTTAGATGTTTGGACAAATCTGTGCCCTAATAGAGCATTACACAAAATAATAAAAGCTGGAGGGGGAGAACCAAATTCGACAGTTTTAAAACTTTGATTTAATGATTGCCATAACATCTTGAAAATAAGAAAATTTTTCTAAATTAAATACCTTAAAAAATATAAAGTTAGAGAACATAGAGAAGGTTACTCTACTCATGCTAATTACTGTTGACTTTTAGGCATATGTCAATTGAGTCCATTAGAGTCTTGAATTATACGAAAATAATTGTTTCTGACAACCTTTATCTAAATAAATTATGGTTTGTAGTGGATATCTGTTGGAGAATTTTGTATCAATCTGGAAAGAAGGATTGCCTAGGAAAGATAATACCTAAAATAAATTTTAATCCCCAAGTTTAGAAAAAATTAATTCTTATTTTAATCAAAAAATATAGGTATTTCCAACCGATTGTTTATAAGGAAAAGAGACAATTGCTCTTCTAATAAATAATTCCTCGTTATGCCTAACCAAATATTCGGGTTGATCATTTAATAAAGTTTTGGCAAAATCCAAAGCAAATTTCTTCTTCAAGTCTTCCCCTTCATTTTCAGACATTTTCTCTTCTTTTTTGCTACTTTCAGATTTTATGTGTTTATCAACAAATTGAAGCATTTCTCGAAGGGTGTATAAAACAATCCACAATTTTACTGACATTACCTTTTTTGAAAAATTGATTTTAAAGTTAATTTGGAGGCATTTGGGCGTAATAAATATGGTTGGAGGCCAGATATGCCAGATATGCCAACCTTATCTAATAGACCCTATTTTTACTAAAATTACTTCGTTAGGTTCTTTTGTTCTCAATTGTTTTTCAAAAAGTCTGTCAACAGTCCAAACAGTCTTTTCCCTGTTTTCCCAAATAACTCCATCACCAACAACATCAAAAATTAATCGAACAGGATGAAATAAATGTGTTCGAGTTAGTCGATGTATAAAATCAACGAGTTCGTTTGGGTAGATTTTTTCGCTTTTTTCCCCTTGTGGATGTAAAATTTTATTAACATCCTCTACTCCAATGTGGGCATTAATAACACTGACACACTCATATTGACCTGAAAATGAATGGAAAATATCTAGTTTAAAAAAGAGGTTTGTACCGACAAATGCTGCCATTTCCCCTGCAGTTTTGCCAATAGAATTTTCGACGTGAGTACTTGCCCCAGCGTCCAAAAGGAGTTGACAGATTTTTGGTTTTCCTTAAAGTCTAAGGATGATATTTTAATTATTTTCCAAACCAGCTAAAGCAGCAAACATTAAAGGAGTATATCCTTGATCGTGATAACGTATATCGGCATTAGCACCAATTTCTAACAACATTTTAACGATTTCTTCATTCCCTTTAAAACAAGCCTGTACAAGTGGACTCATTCCATTCTTTTCCAAACAATCTGGACGAATTTTTCCCAATAAATTGGTAAATTCTTGAATGTTTTCTGCAAAAATTTTATTTTGGATTTGAAAATTTATATTCACTGTGATAAACTCATTGAGGTAACAATTCACTGGAAAAGCTTAATGGAATTTTTTTCTTTGGGTGGATTTTTTCATATCCGACAAGATGTATGTATTTTATCCCCTATCAGCCATTTGTTCCAAAATTAAAGTTATGCTAATGTTGACTTTTCAGTTAAACGCCCTATTTTCTCTTACATAAAACTTGCCTTGTTCAATAGCCTTAAAAATTTGCTCTTCATCACTAGTTAAATTTTTCAATTCTTTTACTGAAAATTTTTGAATATTTTTATTTAGAGACATTTTTTGTTGTTAAAATCTTTACTGTTATTTAGATTGTAATAACATCTTTCATTCACATTTTTTTAGTTAAAATCCTTTATATCGATTAAAAAATAAGAGGATGGCTAATGCATTTTTACATGTCCCCATATTTTCTATTAGTAACAAAGGAAAGTAGAGACTTTGTGGGGGTAAATTTCAATTTCAGGCAAAATTCAAATTTGCCGGCAAAATTTAAATTTGCCTGAAATTCAGCACAAATAAATTTTCTCTTATCTTTTATTTTAAGAAAAATGTCCTCCACCCAATACGAACATTTTTATCAATTATATTATCATTTAAAAGAGACAACAATGAAATATTTTTTAATTCCAACAAAAACTACTTATGACAAAATCTCAAAATATTTAACAACAAATCAAGTAGATGGGTCTATTTCAATTAATACTTTAACGCATTGGAGAAAAGTTTATTCGATAAAAGAAGTTGAAAATAAAAATTTAGTTTTTTATGGGGAGAGGAAAGTTATTTGTGAGGAAGAACTTTTTGAGGTATTACACAAAGCACATGTTTTTGTTGGACATGGAGGACGTGACATGATGACAAATGCATTGAGGGGATTCTATGGAGTTGGAAGGTTTTTAGTCTTTCCATATAATCAGAGGTGGGTCGGAATTCCGATTTCCGACGTTTCCTTCCTTCCGATTTCCGAAATTTTGGAAGAATTTCCGATTTCCGACTTTTGAGCCAGTTCCGATTTCCGAAACCTCTGACTGGTTTCGACCCACCTCTACATATAATAAAGCCTAACTATTTCTCCCTTCCCTGGAAAATACAAAAGGGTAGGAAGCTAGGAGTGAACCACCTTCATTTTTGACCAGAATGGCTACGCTGCCTCATGCTTAGCCTCAGCAATTAAACAGCTATATGCTTTACATTTAAATTTATTTTTAGAAAAGTAATCGCCATTTATTTACAAACATGCACCGAATGTGAACACAAACGGGCAAAAATCAAGAAGAATATTGTAAAGAAGGAAATTGTCCCAAACCCCAAAGGCTATGCTGAAAGTTATCAAGTGGATTTTATTGATATGGAGAGTCAGAGGGACGGTCTTTATTCGTGGATTTTGGTTGTTCAGGTTTTTGGAAGGGAATGAAAATTATTAGAAATTAAATAAAAAATTAGGATCAATATATAAAATTTGTTCACTTACGAGCTCTTCAAAATAAAGATTCTCGTTCAATTGCTTTTTTATTGGAAGAAATTTTCGCCCAATTTGGACCTCCTCAAGTATTACAAACTGGAAATGGGCGAGAATTTGAAAATGAACATATCCACTCCCTTTGTAGTGAATGGAAAGTGAAATTAATTGGTGGAAATTCTAGAAAATCGTCGAATGAAGAAAGTGTGGAACGAGCTAGTCATGATATAGAAAATATTATTTTGACTTGGGAAACTTCGTTACAACGAAATGACTGGGCAAACAATTTGAAAATTTTTCAGCTTATGAAAAATAATAGGTCTGTTTAGGGTTTTTAAATGTTTGCGGACTTTTTAAAAAATTTTCTGGACTTTTTCTGAGGACCCAAGCTGCTTTAGTCAGAAACAAACTGTAAATAGCGAAGTAAGAGCGACTAAAAGTCTAATCCAGGGGGGCTTCGATCCTGCGACTTCCTGGCAGTTATTTTTAGGCGCTTTAGCTCATCGTACAGGTGCTCTACCAACTGAGATACCGGTACGCTGCTTTCACCTCTTTTAATAGATCTTAAACCCACCACCCCTTAGTGAGCGTTTTAAATGCTAGCCGGTTTCCTTACACCGATAAGAGCCCAAGTTAAAATGAGAGAGAAAATCATTAAAAACCCCTCTCCTTCTTTAAAAAATAACAAGATATCTAGAATTTATTCCCATTAAGGTTTCACAAATCCCTCCACTCCATACGAAGCAGTATTTGGCCGTAAACTCCACTCTTTACCTTCCAGCGTTTCAATAGATGATCAAATAGAAGAATTTGTAATAAATGGTTTTTATGTAGAACAGACAGAAAATAATAAAGAGGAAATTCCAGAAGAAATTCCAACTTGTTCAGATTCTCAATTTGAGGAACAGGAGGGGGAAATTACAAATAAATATTGTAAATGTAATTCTGAATGTAAAGGGAATCGTTGTTGTTGAAAAAAGAAGGAATATTTTGTGGAAATAAATGTCACAAAAGCCTTTCTTGTTCAAATAATTTTTTCTCTTAAAAATTTTTTTGTTTTTAAATTTATTTTTGAATAAAATAAAAATATATTTATTTTTTTTTTTTAAAATTTAAATTATTTAAATTTCTCAATATTTTGCCCTATATATTAACCAAACCTTTCAAAAAAATTTATTTCCCAGAAAATGCCTGATCTAAACGATTTGAGACAAGTGAGAAAAAATTTAAAAAGAACAAAAATAACGTAAGAAAATTTTTAAAAATTTCCAAAAAAATTTTTTTAGAGTAAAAAAAGAGGATGGGGGAATTCACCAAGAACAATTAAACGAAAATGGGGAATTCGAAATTATTTTTGAGGATGATGGAAGTGAGAAAAAAGAATATATTCCTTCAAATAAAAATAAAAAAGAACAATATTGGTATGGAATGGTAATTGATTTTAAACCTGATTTACAAATTGCTTGTGTTTCAGAAAATGTTTATTTGAGGTATTCTGATTTGAATAAAAAGAAATTCGAAAATTATTTTAAGAAGTTTTTTGGGATAAAATTATTCATAATTTTAAATGGTCGAATTATTTCATTGACTGCACTAATTCCCAAACTAATATTTTCGAGTTGTGTGTGTGTGGCAAAGCTTGCGTGGCTCGCCAAATGCCAAATTTTCAAATTTTTAAAAGACGCCAAACACAAAACGCCAAAAATCGCACAATCCTTGAGCTTAAACAATTTATTCTTTTTAGACAACAGAAAATAACTAAAACTAAAAAATAGATATAATAAGGAAAAATATATTTATTTAAATATTTATAGCAGTCAAGCAGTAGCTCAAGATTTAGAATTATTATTAACCAACAAAATAACACATATAATTAATGTAGCTACAGGTGTTCAATGTTTATTTCCTGAAAATATAACATATTTGGCTTTAACAGCTTTAGATGTTCCTACAGAAAATTTAAAAAGACATTTTGATAAAGCTGTGAAATTTATTTATAATGCTGTTGAAAATGGGGGAAAGGTAAGGAGGGAGTATTTTACTGAAAAGACAATTCACCGAAATTTAATTTACAAGACATTGACTCTTAAATAAACACTAATGGGGGGTTTTAATTTAAGTAAAGCTTAATTTCTTAAAGAAATTTTCCTTCTAAAAACTCTTTGCTTTATTTTAAGCCTTTCAATTTAAGTATTCCTTTTTTCGGTGAATTGTCTGTCTGTTAATTGTCTTTGGAATTATAATTATTTTTAGGTATTAATTCATTGCAATGCAGGAGTTTCTCGTTCAACAACAATTGTTATTGCCTATTTAATGAATTATAAACATTTGACTGTTAATAAAGCTTTGGAGCATGTTCGCAGTCAAAGACCGAGTTAAAAATATTTTAATAATTTTAGTCCTTTTTTTAATAGTTGCTAGGCCAAATGATGGTTTTATGTGTCAATTAAAAGAATATGAAAGTGAACTTGGCTTGAATTCTGTCGAAAACCAGTAGAAAATTAAAAAATTAAAGATTTTTTTATAATTAAATATTTAATAATCAATTTATTTAAATAATTCTTAAAAATAAATAAAACAGCTATGTAGATCTACTCTAATTTTAAATTTGTCTTTGGAATTAAAAATAATATTTATAAATATACTATTTCTTTGGAAAATTTCTTGAATAAATAAAAATGGACGTTATGTATTATCTAAAACCCGAAGTCTTTCAACTATTAACTCTGTTCAATAAAAAGAAGTCTAATAAATTGAACAAGGGCTGAAAATGTAAACCGAAATTAATAGAATAATACCTCCTCATAATTAACAGAGAAACAATAATCATAATTTACTAAAATAATCTTTAAATGGCAGTAAGATATATCTTTTAATTAATTTTACAACGTGAAGGTTCATATTCACACCTTCCACAATTATCTCTATTATGTCCAGGCCCATTATACCAAAGGCAAACCTTTTTTGATTAAAAAATATTTTTTTAAATTCTCGGAACAAACCATTTGTTCTAAAATATAAATATAATTTTGTATTGTAGACAAACTATAATTATTAATTAATATCCATAAATTATTTTTTATTGGCTCGGGTCCAAGAAATGGTTGGGATTGTTGTATTTTTAATTTTGAATTGTATGTTTGCCAAATTTGGGAATTTTGTGCACAGTTTCTTTAAATTGAAAAATAAAATTTTAAAGAAATTGAAGAGGTAAATGAAAAATTTGAAAGAGAAGAGCCTCGCTCTCTAGTCATAGGGAAAGATATACACAATCCAGTGGATTTAAATTTTGTGGTTTTTGTAATTACAGACTTGTTGCGGATTTTTATAGATGATAATATTTTTTAAAGTTTTCTCAATTCCCCTCAAATTTCGGCACAAAACATTTCCAAAATTAATATTTTAAATATTAATTTTTAAAGTTTAAAACTTCAAAAACTAACATTATCGACTGTCGCTCTCCTTCACTAGTAAAAAGGCATTCATTTATCCAATTCAAATTAATTTGTTCATATCTTGTGTTCAAACAAAGTAATAAATTATTTTTTTGATTTATATCTGCAACACTTCCAGAAATACAAATCTTTAAATAAATTGAGTTTTTGATAGTCTTTGTAAAGATTGAATGAAATTTAGAGCTTTAAATTTTGGGTTCTCTTCGAAAAAATATTTTCCAAATAAGATAATTGGATCTTAATTTAAGATGCATTCTTAAATAATTTCTTGGCCAGTTGGAGCTGGCTAAGGAGGATATCCTCAATTTAAGATACATTTAATTTTACATTATTTGTCACTCGATGCCGTAGAAGCAACGGACAAAGAAAGTACTACTAGGTAGAGATCTGACTGTAAGTGTTGTACGAGAATCGAGATCTCTTCTCGGTCCGGTCTCTACTACTTGGTACTTTCTTTTACAAAAGAATCTTTTCCTCCCCCTTTTTCCTACCTCCAAAATTCTTTGAGCACACCATTCAGAAAATCCACATTCCTCCAATTCTTGATTTGTTAAATAAAAAGGTTCTAATTCAACAAACATTTTCCCAAAATTTAATTTATATTTTAAAGTATTTTTATTTAATAAATTATTTAAAATATATTTAATTAAATAATTTCGAGATTCTCCAAATTTTGAATTAAAAATTATTTTAAAATTTAAAGGACGGCCATAATTAATTAAATTTTGTTGATTACACAATTCTTTATTAAAACATTCTAAAGTTATTTTTTGGTTAATACACCAAAATTCTGGAGGAAAATTACATTCTTTTAGATTAAATTTTGTTGTTCTGCTAATTCTTTCATTTGTTTCGTTGTCTATATTTTGAAGCTGAAAAACTAATGGGGAATGAGGGGTTTTTTGAATTATATAAAATTAAAATATTTATCTTATCTCAGAGGAAAATAAAATGATTAAGTAATGTTTTCAGGAATTTTTCTAAAATTATTAGAAAATATTTTAGTGAATATTAAATGAGAAATAGATACACTTTTTTTAAGCGACAAAAAAGCGTTTAAATTTGGTGTTTTTTTAATATTTTTTCGAGTAGAATATTTAGGGCGAAAATATAAAGGAGCTTCTCCTATTTTTTATCCCCTCCCCTTTCTCTCCCACCTACTTGATTATTCTCGTTATTTCCTTCAATTGTTTTATTCCAATGCCTCATCTTTTCAACAAAAAATAATTGTAGAGAAGATTGTATTTGTATATGGCTAAAATCATTAAATGACAAAAATGGCACAAAACGAGGTTTTTGAGTTAAAATTTGTTTTGTATTGTGTTCATCTTCTAATTGAAATTTAAAAGATTGAGAGCCATTTGCGCATCTTCTAAATTTCAAAAATTATTAACAACATTTTCATTATTTAAATAGATTTTTTTGATTTGTCATCTCTCTGTATATCTCAGAGCCATTCAACTACATATTAGAAAGTTAAAGTGAGATTTACTGAGATAAATCAGAGATTCAGATATTTGGAAAATGTCAAATTTAAAATAGTAACTAGAAATAAGACTGAGACGAGAACTAGAGATTCCCAAGCGACAATAAATTGTCCAATCTTTTCATTCCCCAAAAATGCCTAAACAACGCTTGTAAATAAATATCCATTCTCCATCAATATTTACCTAATTTCCTCAATCATTATTTCATTTGCCCAAACTTGTATCAAACAATCTTTCATTTCATTCATAGGATCACTTCCAGCAATCATCATTTGTTTCATAAAACAATACAAAATAACATCTCTCCTTTTTCTATCCCATTTATAAATATTTAATATACAAGAAAGTAATCTGTTGCCTAAACATTCACGAGGTCCATGGTGACAACGAACATTCTGGTCGAAAATTGGTTAAAAATATAGGAATAAGAATTCTCAGCTAACCGAGTATATCCAAAAATAAAATAATGGCTTAATTATATCAAGGGTCTGCATTATTTTTTGAAAATACTCGGCTATTCTTATGCCATACAGTTGGAGAGAACCTTTTATTTGAGTCAACTAAAATTCTAGGGAATTACTCCTTTAGAGCATTTACGCATTAATAGAGGTTTGGAGAAGGCCTACTAGAGGGAATATTGGAGAGGATCTATTAAGGGTTAATTTAAATTTTTAAGAATATTTCAAAGCCATTAATCCTTCAAGAAAACCATTTTTTTAAATATTCGTTAAAGGAAATTACCTGGAAGGCGTCTAGAAAGTCCCCAAGGAAAAGCAGTAAAATCTATAGAATCTGCAAATTCTGGATTGTTCAAAATTTTTGGAAAGAGATGATTTACAATTAATTTTTGAGAATCTGGACATCCACTTTCGAAAGCTAACCTGTCAAAATTTAGAAAATCTTTATTTTGAAAAATAAGGAGGATTTGATTTAACTAAAATCTTGGCCCTATCTCAGTTTATTTCCAAAATTGATATACCGTAAATCTCATAAAATAAGCCACTGGGCTTATTTTTTCTATCGACCTCTAGAGGGGGCTTATTTTAAAGGGGGGAGCTTATTTTGGAGAAAGCCTATTTTAGAGGATTTACGGTACTATAAAAGAGCAATATTTTATCTTTTATCCATCTCAAATCCAAATTGTCAAGCCCCCCAACATCATCAGACCGATTCACTTAATGGTGCAACAACAGCAACATAAGATGACTTCTGGCAAGGCTACTACTCCAGCAGACAAGCACAACGTCATGCTCTTCTTGATGGTGAATTGCATCCAAATCCTCTGCGTGCTTATTGTGCTCATGCAGGCTCTGTCAACGACCGAACTTCGAGGAAACTTCTACTACGCCGATCGGGTGCTTAAAAGTATTTGATTGGTCTAATCCTTATTTTTATTTGTAGGCAAATATCCGCAAGATGCTCCTAGAATCTGACGGTCTGCGCTGCAAAGAATTCGTCATATACAATGCTGAGCCGCCAACACCGCAGGAGAAATTGGATGAACACCTCAGCAATAGCGGATATGCTACATTGAAAGATCGAGAGGAGAGAAGTGAAGGCAGTAAGGACAACACTCCTAGTTCTGGACGAATCCTGACAATTCTGGAGCGCAGCTTGAAAGTTACTGGCGACGAAGTAAATTCGACCACTGGGGAATTGAAGATGCGCATTTCTCTTCTCTTCGAATGGAAAACCGGTGAGAAGGATTATTTGAGAGTTGACAATATTTTCTTCATTTTTTAAAGGTCATGGTCAGCTTGATGTGTTGCAAATGCCAGAAGATGTCGAGAATCTGACGGAAAGTATTCTTGGAGAATCTCCGGATATGACCTCATTGAATACAAGTCTACCGAACATTACTTCAACAGACAAAGGGACCGCCAACACCGCCAAAATTCCTCTGCCTTCGGTTGCCAGTGCAGCAAATTCTGAGGAGACAAAAGATGTTGAGGAGAAGGAAAACCCGGCCAATTCTGACAACCAAATACAGCCTCGCTTCCCTAATGGGACTCACGCCTACAAGGTGAAAACATCCACATTAAATCTCATTAAAGTTAAAAACTTTTACAGATCAACAAAATGGAAGGAATGCAAGAAAACAAGCCTGCCGATGTTTTCGATCCGTTCAACCATGTAGCAAAGCATTTGCTCGTCTACACTCTAGCCAGTTTCCTGCACCTGATTCTTCAATTCTGTCGCTGTGCTCTCAGTGACAATAATGGACGTTATTCGGTAATTTCCTGATTTAATCTCTGATCCTCTTTCTTTTAAAGGTTTGCGAGCTGATTTTTCTGGTGGTCTCAATTGTCGTTTGGGGAATTATGCTGGTCTTGACTTCCTCCACGAGCGTCAACTGGGACAGTTTATGGATGTGCACAAATTTCCGACCGGAGAAGCCCAAAGTCTTCATTGTGGCGGTGGTGGGAGATTTTGATGATTTTTCGGGCCTAATTTTAAATTTTGTAGATTTGTTCTGCTGTGCTGGTTGTTCTCTACCTGTTCGAGGCTCTGTATGCTTGCGAGATGATGTTCGTCGAGGAAGCGACCAAAAATGTGAAGGTGGAAGGGGGGAAGTCTGAAGCTTCTTCCCCTCCAAAGAATAACAACGCCATTGTTGCCGCTTCGACTGATGACACTACTAGTACCTCCATTCTGTTGCCATTCACTCTTCATGGAGGCAAGATTGGAGGCAACATCCAGCAGGCTAAACTTGTGCGAGAAGACTTCTGCATGATAACCGTAAAGGAGAACTAAATCGAAGTGTGTGATGTAGTGAACAAATATTGAGAATAATAAATGTGTGTTAGTTGTGTTGATATATCTATAATCCCCCCACACATTATGTAGGTTTTGTAATGTATAATAACCACCTTCATGTTGTATATACCTATCGCTATTTGCTAATTGAAATGTTATTTCTAATAAATGTATTAAGGTATTTAACGGGCGGTACGACAATTGCGGATACGCACGTGCGGATGCAATGATTGCGGACATAAAATTTTTAAAAAGTTTAAGATTTTTTAGAGTTTTCAATGCCACATCTGTCTAAAAATGATTCGGAAACCGTCAGAAGTCTGGACCTGACAGCCGGGACAAAAAAGCGGAATATCATTTCAATCATTTTTAAAATTTTTAAAAAATTTTTAATCCGCAATTGTCGCATCCGCACTTGCGTATCCGCAATTGTCGTAACACCATTTAACGGGCTATATTGTCGAAATTTATTTTTATTTGAAAAGCCATTTCCTTTCTCTAATCATTCCAAACACATTTGGTAGCAATGCCACCCTTTTCTCATCAAAAAAATGAATTTCAACAGTCCTCCCTTTGCTCCTTTTATTAAACAGCCTAAAAGTCATCGTTTAAGTCATTAACTAGATTACCCAAAAGTTAATTTGCAAAATTGAGGACATTTTTATTAAATATTTCTAAACTAACTTTAAATCAATTTTTCTTTTATTAAAATATTTATTTCTTCTGTAATTATTGCAAAAAGTTGTAGAGCCCCCAGTACATATTAATGCTATATTTGGATTATCACACCAAAAATCTGATGGAAGTAAACATTGTTGTGATTGTGGAAGGGAGGAGGAGGGGGGTTGATAATTTATTTGGTGATTTGGTGTTTGGTATCTAATTTCTGAATTTGACCTGAAAATTTTGAAAAGAAATATTTTTAATTATTTACAAAAATTTTTATATTATCCCAAAAATATTTTTAGACTAAAAGGGATTGGGAATGTGAAAAAATTTTTGAAGATGATTGATAATGTAGGCAAAATAAGGATGCTTGGATAAGAATTCTTTGTTAAAGTTTCGATATACATGAGAAATAATTCTCTTAATTAGCGGGGAAGGAATAAATCGAAATTTACAATGGCTAAATTCAAAAATAACAGGAAATGTTCAACTAAATTACAGAGAATGCCTAGAATTTCCAATAAAAATACCTCAAATTTTTTGAATTTAACAAAATATTTTTATTTCTAACATTTTTAATTAAATTTAAATTTTTGTTTGTTTTAATATTAATTATAGAAAATGAATAAATATTGGAAAATAAAATTAAATAAAATTGTAATAAATTAAATAATAAATATTTTTTGGAAATTTTATAAAGTAATAATTTATTTAATAAAATAATTATAATTTTCATATCTATAAATAAAAATAAATTATATTTTTTAATAATTTGATGATTTAGTTACGAATCTCGATTACGACGCAACTTTGGATGAGGGAATAGAGCCTCTCCTTGCGATAAATACTTATGAAAGTTTTGGAGTCTATTTTAAAAACAACGGAAATAATTTGAAATTTTTTTCAAAAATATTTATTGGTAGGAATATTTATAAATATAACTAAATATATTCATCAATCCACAGTGTGGCATTGATTGCAAATAAAAGAGAAAAATATTTGGAAGGATCCATCAAAAATAACAAGAATTAAAACTAAATAATGTCCAGTTTTGGCGATTATTTATTTATTTTTTATTCATCAAAAAATATTTTTTTGTGATATTTTTAACCCGATAATAAATAAATATTTTTTTATTCTTTTAAATGCCAAATCGGCTTTTTTATAATTTTTTTCTTCAATAGCTTGTCAAGGTTAAACACTAAAAATGCATTGAGCAATGAAAAAATAATATTTAGTTCACTTTATAAATAAAAAGTGCTTAAATTTTTGGGGGAAATGGTTGTTGGATTAAATTTGGGAGGATATAAATAATTAAAATTGCAAAATAATTTCTTCCAAAAATTTATTTTTAACCCAAAATTAATTTAAAAAGAATTTAGCGACATTAATTGACGTAGAAGTGCAAAAAAAGTAATTAATCAAGAAAGGAAAAATATTTGCCGTCAAAGGTATTTTATAAATACAAAAATTCCTTGAAGGCTTTTTGATGGTGTTTTTTTAATTTTGTTAGAAAATTAAAAATTATTGAATAAATATTTAGAAAATATATTAAAATATTTAAATTTGTTCAATTATTTTGCAAATTGGACTATTTCTTATTTTTTATACTTTTTCTCATTCCTTAATCCAAAAGTTAATGCCTCATAAATTATTATTAAAATATCTGTTCAAATTTTGCTTCCCTTTTCGATTCATTATGGGTTACATTAAAATTTCATTTTATTATTGCCTGAAAGCCCTTAAAATTTGCCACAAAATATAATTGGTTTGATATCTGTAAAAAATCTTTTTGTCTATCATTGTGTAATTTTTAAAGGAAAATCAAGACATTTTGTCGAGAACTTTTTAGTTTTATATTTAAACAGTTCTTGAAATGTATATTCACTTAACTGAATTTAAAATTGTAGTTTTTCCTAATAAAAAAATTTATAAATAAATTAATTGCTCGAATAACTACAATGTATAAATTAAATTAAAAGAAAATTATTTAAAATATTTAAGGGACTAAAATTTTTGGAAAATTCCCTGTAGAAAATTTAAGAGGATGGAATAATTCTACTAATATCCAATTTGAACAATTTAAACTAAATCCATTTTTAATTAAAAATTGATTACAATTGTTAAAAATATTTGTTTAACCCCTTTAAATACAAATTATTCTTCATTAATTTAAAAATTAATTGGCAATTTTTGAATATTTTTTTAGAAAAACTTATTTTCAAAATAATATTTAAATATTTACACAAATTTATTTTAAAAAGAAAAATAAAACTTTTCCAGTTTTTTTATAAATTTAATTTCCAAAACATCGAGTGTACTATAACAAATTTCTCCATGAGAGACAGGATTTGAACAAGATTTAGCTAAAACTTTCTATTTTTCGAAACGATGACGTTTAATTTATGGTATTTAAGCTAGAGACCGGCAAAATCGCACTTCCGGGATCCCGAGTCGGGATTTTATTTTTTAACCGATGCCGGGACGGGATCCCGAGGGAGTAATCCCGAAAAAATCCCGGATCCCGAATGATCCCGAAAATCAAAAAAATCCGGGAGTTCGGGATCGGGATCCCGGAAAATCCCGTCGGGATCCCGTCCCGAGCCGGTCTCTAATTTAAGCTTTAATTAATTCGGTAAAGGTCTCAAAATTTCACAACAAACACAACACAACAATTATAAACACAACATATTATCCCTGTCTTCAGAATATTGCGGTCCTTTACCAATTTCTTCAAAGCTGAACAATTCCCGATTTAATGAAGTATATAATTTGTGCCTGGATGGTATTGATTATTGCAATTAATCTTTATCTTCCTTAGGCGCCTGGGGTATTGTGACTTATACTAGGTTTTTTTTTGGACCGATTAGGTCAAGTGAGGTGTCATTCGAAAGAGCTTCGAAAACTGAATCGAACTAGGGGTGGGAGAAGTTGGTACGACAATCAGGGGCCGAGTTACAGACCCCTGAAGTTTGAAAAAGAGAAGGGGGGAGTAAGCTCATTTTAGGGTGAAAAATTCGAAAATGCAAATAATAGCACATTCGACTCAGCTCGTCGCGCTGAGTCGAATGACACCAAAATCACCGAAATCCGACTTGATTGGAAAAAGTTATGATCGTTTGTTTTAGCTCCTTAGCTATGGTCTATGAGGAGGTTTTTGCTGCTACAGAGGCCCCAAGTACGTCCAGAACAAGGGAGATAGGAATAGGTTTATGTTACTGACCCAGACCCAGCGACCGTTGACTCCCCGCGAGGCGCGTGCCGCGAAACCCCGCGCGAAGCGCGGGGTTTCGCACAAGCGCCTCGCCAACGCTCCATAGGTTTACGTTGACCATTTTGAACCTGTTTATTTTGGCTCAGAATCAAGGTATCGAGCTGATTTTGGTGTCATTCGACTCAGCTCGATGAGCTGAGTCGAATGAGCTATTATTTGCATTTTCGAATTATTCACCCTAAAATGAGCTTACTCCCCCCTTCTCTTTTTCAAACTTCAGGGGTCTGTATCTCGGCCCCTGATTGTCGGATCGACTTCTCCCACCCCTAGTTCGATTCAGTTTTCGAAGCTCTTTCGAATGACACCTCACTTGACCTAATCGGTCCAAAAACAAAAAACCTAGTATAAGTCACAACATTCGGCGCCTGGAATTTCAACAATCCAAAAATCAGGCAAAACAGGTCTTACAAATAGAAAGAACTCGTGTTTTGTGAACTGCATTTTGCAAGGATTGATGAATACTAGAAATTTCATTCGTTTTATTGTGTATAATTTTATTTGCATTCATTTATATTTTTTATGTGGAGTCCATTGTTTTTAACTATATATTTTTTAAACTGTTTTACCATATTTATTTTTAAATTTCTTTTGTATAATTTAACTAACTCCATAAGTGATCCTTATGGATCCAGGAGTATTTATTTTTTGATCACATTTTATTTGTGTCAATAAAGAAAAAAATCTTTATCTTCCTTAGGCACCTGGCATTTTCACAGTCCAAAAATTAGGAAGAACAGGACTTACAAATAGAAAAAATTCGTGTGTGAACTGCATTTTGCAAGCATTGATGAACACAAAAGATTTCATTACCTTATACAAGACTAAAAAGATATCAGAGTAATTAACGGAGCAAATCAACAAGGCTCACAAGGAGATTTATCAGCATGTCTGTCAGCATATTAAATGAATACTGCAGTCAGAAATATGCTGCTTTAAATACAAATATTTTACTGGTAAAAATTTAATATCTAGAAATAGCCAAACGAGGAAATTTGAAAAATATTAACATAACAGAAAATATTTTTAATAAAGTGAAAAAATTGTTGCAAATGAGAGAAAAGTTCAGTTTATTAATCATTTTATATTTAGGATATTATACAGCGTTTTGTTCGATCTGATTTTGATGGGAATTATGAAAAAGATGCAGATGAATTTCTGCTTTGAATATTAATGCAACTTGCCGAAGACACAAAGAAAGTCTGAAATTATAAAAATTTTAAAGTAAAACCAATTTTTAAGGAAAACATCGAATTAGGAACAAATCTGAAGAACTATTCAGGCGGAAATATAAGGAATAATGGAAAAGAATGAAGTTATCTACAGCAAAAAGAATCTTCGATTGTTTTGAGTTTCTTCATAACAATTTTTGCTAAGAGCTACACCTGCTCAAACTGCCAACAACACTTTCATACTTTCCATCAACAGTTCGTTTAATTTATCTAAATTTAAAAAACAAAAATAATTAATTTAAATTAACAATTACATAACTCTTAAAATTTTCGGAACAGGATCATTGAGTCCCGCCAGTTGAGTCCCAGATATCGGCCTGTCTATCAGAATATTCAACTGCTTACTGGAGTCAAAAATATGCTGTTTTGAATACAAATCTTTTTCTGGTATTTGATTTTAACTTGCCAAATTAGGAAATTTGTGATAATATTAGCAAAATAGAAAATATTTTTGATATAAAAGTGGAAATTATGAAAAATTTAAATTGGAAAAATCTTAATAAATTAAATTTTTAAACATTTACGTACATATGTATTGATACTGGATGAGAGAAAGTTCTAATTTTGTATTAATCCTTTTATATTTAGAACATTATTAGCCGTTTTGTTCGCTCGGATTTTGACGGAATCAATGAGAAGGATTCCAATGAATTTTTAATTTGGATATTGTGGAAGTTAGCTGAGGATGTAAAGAAGGTAAAAAATTATAGAAAATTTTAAAAGTTAAAGCGATTTTTTAAGGATAGTATTGAATGAGGTGCTAATTTGAAGAATTATAGCGGCGGACTTTTCAAGGATAATGGCCGTCATTACATTTCAAGTCAACAAAAGGAATCATCAATTGTTATAAATTTCTTCCTAATAATTATGACCAAAACCTACAATTGTCCCAACAAACGGTTAATAACTTTTATCAACAGCAGTATAGAATATGTAGATAACAAGAATTCAAACTAAATAATGCCCAGTTTTGAAGATTATTTCTTTTGTTCATCAAAAATATTTTTGTGATATTTTTAACCCGATAATAAATAAATTTTTTATTCTTTTCATTTATTCCATTTACCTCTATAAATAAAGTGCTTAGGTAAATTGTTGTAGGGAACTGGTTGTTGCATTAAATTTGGGAGGAAATAAAATAATTAAAATTGCAAAATAATTTCTTCCAAAAATTTATTTTTAAAATGAACAATATGCCTATCTTTATTAATGTTTACTTTGTGCTAACAATTGAACAAACAATAAGTTTTGTATTTATATCTATAAATATACTAAATACATGGATACAATAAATAAATGTTATTGTGATACAAATATGTGATACTATTTAGCATATGATATACGGAAAATATTTGGGAGAACTAGAGAGAGGGAAACGAGTAAAATGCATGTTTATATAGGTAAGATATCGAACAAATTATTTGTTTGGTCTAACAACACCTTTCTCTTTCTTGCCTGAGTCCTTCCTAGAGACAAAGTAGACAGCAATCCCAATACCAATAGCAACCAGAATAATAACGACAACAACGATCATCACAACAAGAAACAGAGACCCTGAAGAATCTTTGGTGGTAGAAGTCCTCTTTGTTTTAGCTTTTGTGACTGTAGTTTTGGAGGGGGATTTAGTTGCTCCTTTGGAAGAGGGTGCAGTTTTCTGTTGCATAATCGGTAAGCCGTGAGTTGGCAGTGTTGGTTTTTTTGGTGTTGAAGTAATAGGAGAGACAGTCAGCAATTTGTAGCTACTCTTATCCTGGAGAATAAATACATTAAATCAATTAAATAAAAATATCACATACGAAGGAGATCTCCATAAAATCGCATTCTGGCCCTTCTGGGTGCTCGTTTTTTACAACATATTTCTTTCCTGTGACAAGATCTTCTACCTTCATTGTCATCCTTCGCGATGCTGTTTGTGGAAGAAGATGAAAAACCAACAAACGAGACATTTCAGGATCTGGCCTTGTACCGACAATTTCCCATGTTGAAGGCGAGAGAATGTTTTCTGTAAGGTTATTCAAGCAGATAGATTTTTGATCATTAAACTTTGGAGTGTCTATTGGCATACGGAAGTGAAATTTTGGATCCGTTTGGTTGATTCTGAGATTTGATACAATTTTAATTCCATACTCATTCGTGTACTTTTCTACGCCAGCAAGATGAACAAATTTTGTGGCAACTAAAATAAATAAAGTTAATGTATAATTTGGACGCAGATATTTACTTGGATTTGTAAGAAGCAAATGATGTTCCGTACCACTAGGGAATTTAATATATGTCCATCTGAGTTCTAGACCCGTTTTTTTGACACACCCTTCTTCACAACCAGAACACGCACCATTAGCGAAAAGCGGTCCATCGTGGAATTTCTTGACCTCTTCATTTGTCAGACTGTAGGCAAAAGGCAATCTACAAAATAGTTGAATATTAGATTAGTGTTTACTTACTTAATTCAAGATATCTTACTACATATGTTTAAGGTTTAAACTTACACGTTCAAATTGGTGTCATCCTTATTTAAACAACCACCAATGCCATTCCCAGAATAATGCTTCAAAACAGCCGAGAAAACAATCTCGTCCTTCTTATCAGTTAGAAGATCTACCGTACAGCCTTTAGCTCCTTTATCCTTGTAGTAAGATAGAGTGATAAAAAAGGGAGATAATAAACAAAAAATCCACAATAAGTAACTTACATATAATTACTCTTCTCCATGTTCACAGTGTCAATAGCACAAGCTTCAGAACTCCACATATACTGTCCAAAATCTTCTCTGTTGACAGCAACCCTCGAGCCTTTGGCAAGCGTCACCTTTCCTTCCTGAAGGCTGTGATTCCAATGACCGACGCTTTTCGCTCCAGTGATGTTTAACTGTCCAAGCAATTGTAAAATAATAATGGAGAGTGCCGCGATGTTTGCGAACATTGTTTGCTTTTTGTTCGATTTGTTGTTGTTGAAAATGGTAGACTTCATTGTAGCGATAAAGAATTGTAATTGAATGACATTGTAGTAAGGTATAGCTAGGCTTTCGAAGCATCTTTATATAGTACTGGGTTTAGGGGTGTCAAAATAGGTGAAATATGGCAAAAATAAATGAAACGAAAAACTATCATTGTTTAACAGTTTTGGAGATTGCAGAGTTGTAGTCATTCCATTATTAGCTAATAAATCGGCATGAGACTTTCCTAGCTTTAGAATTTTTGAAGAAAAATAAGCAAAGTGTTTCACTTTCTGTCGAGAAATTGAAACAGAATCCGAAAGTTTTTTTTATTTGTTTCTCACTAATCTTATTTACTTGAACATACAGTAAACTCTTATTTAAAAGACTAATATTGCAGCAAAGTAGCAGCGACAAAGTGGCGTTTCCATAAATTTACTGAATAGGAACATCAAAGTCTGAAAATTCTTATTCGAATGTCGAAATTAGATAACAACTTTTCATATTTTTATTGGCAGTTTTCAATAACTTTATTAATGCATAAAGTATTCGAATTGGCTACAAATTAAAAAAGTTGAGGTCCAAAATAAGGCTCGGGATTGAAATAACTAGACTTAAGTGTTCTTGGCCGGAAAGAGAAAAAGAAAAATAAATACTTTGTATTTTCTCTCGTTTCCCTCCATGCCTGCGGGTTTTATTTATTTGTTTTTTCTCCGCCACGCGTCAAATATTTTTTTATTTTAATTCTGTTTTTGTTTTGAACGTGGATGAAACGTGAATTTTTCTTTAATTTTTTTTGTAAATTTTGTATTGAAGTTTCTTTGTTGTTAAATAATTTAGTCATACTTACATATTAATTTTTGGTAATTTTTATTTTTTTAGATTTTTTTTCAACGAGCTCTAAATTTATTAAGCTCCTTTTATTAAAATTATGTTTTTGAAAGCTAGCATAGAAAGGATTTTAACTGATGCTGGTACTAGACGAAAAGAAAATGTTGAATTGAGAAAAGCTTGTGAAGAGTCTCTCGGTAATTTTTAGAAGAAATTTAAAAAGTTTTTTTTTATTTTTTAGAGCAACTTAATGCAGAATTACAGACTTTTGGACAGCAACAAACAGAAAATGGAACGGGGCCGTCTTGTGCTATTTTGCCCAATGGAAATAATATTTTTTTGGCTGACCGGTATTTTCCTCCTTTTGAATTGGTAGGTTTTTAAAGAAAGTTTATTCTATAAATAATTTTTATTTCTTTTAAGGCATGCCAAAGTAAATCCTCCAAAATTGTTATAAATGCTTTGGATTCACTTCAGGTTTTTTATTAAATATTTTTTTGTCATCTATTACTTCCCCTTCCCGAAATTTCTTTTTCATTATTTATCGTGTAATTATTTCAGGTCCCGTCTTTTTTCCCCTTCCTTTTAAAGAAAATTAATTTTCTAAAATTATTTTTTTCTTTTTTAGAAATTAATTTCCTATGGCCATTTAATTGGTAATCAACCAGACAGTGATAATCCTGAACAATTACTTATTGATAGTTTGTTTGCTTTTTTTAAATCAAAATTTAAATTTCTTTTAATAGGAGTTGTTCAAGCTATTTGTGCTCCATTCCAAGGTCCCCACACTGACGACGCCGTTCAACTTCAAATAATTAAGGTTTGACTTTTAATTTTATTTGGCAAATGCTTTTGCTTTTTTAACTTTTTTGCTGGTATATTTTCAAAAATTTAAGGGAATTCTTGCATTAATTCTCAACCAGACTTGTCGAATCCACGAAAGTTCTTTATTGCTTGCTGTGCGTACTTGCTTTAATATTTATTTGGCTAGCAAAAGTCCAATTAATCAATCAACTGCAAAGGGTATTTTGACACAAACAATTAATTATGTTTTTACAAATATGGAGAGAAATGTTGTGGACACTGTTGTTATTCCTTTTGATGAAAATTCGGTAAAATATTTTTGTTTAAATTTTGCCTTTAATTTTTGGGTTGGATGGCTTGGGAATTGCTTTAATAGGGAAAATTTTTAATGGTTTTTGTTAGCCCTCTTCTTATTTCAAAGATGGATTGACCCTTTCCTTTGAAGTTAACTTAAGAATTTTGATTTGGGATTTTTTTAATTTTTCAAAATTTTTTACAAATTTTTTTTTAAATTTTACATTTTTTTCTTTTTCAAGGTTGTAAAGGATGTTCTCGATTCTGTAGTTTATCAAGTTAGTACATCACTCGATTCTTGTCAATATGAGAATGGGGAACAGGATTTAAAGGTTTTTTTGTGTTTTCTTATAAATTTTTAAAAATTAATTTTCAAGTCAACAAATATCGATTTTAACGAGCCTCTCAGTCCAAATGAACAAAATATAATTTTAAATGGTTCGATTCATTCATCTTCCCCAAGTTATTATTATGGAATGAATGGGTCTAGTGAAAATACTACAGATTTAAATGTTACAACAAATGGGGGAACTCCTAGACAATTACAACAACAAAAATTAGAATTTAATTCAATTGAAGAAAAAGATGCTTTTTTAATTTTTAGAGCACTTTGTAAACTTTCAATGAAACATTTGCCTGATGAACAAGATCCAAGGTTTAAAATTCTTTTTAATTTTTGGCTATATTTTTGAGTCTAAAATTCTAAAAAGTGTTATTTGTATTCTGGATAATTTTTCTTATTAATTTGAACTGAAATTGGGCCCAATAACCAGAAAAAATTTTTCGGAGGGTATAGAAATCATTTTTGACATTTTGCACTGCAATCGAAAATTTCGGGAGACTTTGATTTTTAAGATAACATTGTTTGGATTAATTTCTCGAATCTGAGAATATCATATTCGGAATTAAAATAACGGACGAAGATATGTGAGATAAAAGATCAGCTTTAACTTGATAATTAATGGGTTTTGTCGTTGATTTAACCGAACAGGATTTGTTAAGTAAATAAAATTGCAATTTTTGATTTTATTATTTTTTATTAATTTCCTAATTTTCTAATTATTTAATTTTAGAAGTCATGAACTTCGTTCAAAAATTCTTTCACTTGAAATGATTTTGCTTGTAATGGAGCATATAAATGGTCAACCATTACCTGATCACCACAGTTTTGTTTATGCAATTCGGCATTTTTTGTGTGTCGCTTTAACACAAAATGCTGTTTCTCCAACAATTACAGTCTTCGAAAAAGCACTTTCAATAATTGTTCAATTAATAAATAAATGGAAATCCCATTTAAAAAAGCAATTGGAAGTATTTTTTAAAGAGATTTTACTTTCAATTCTTGAAAGTCCTTCAAGTTCGTTTGAACATAAATGGGCAGTTTTAAATGCTTTGAGTAAAATTTTTGACGACTCACAAAGTGTAGTGGATATTTATGTTAATTATGATTGTCATATGACTTCTGCTAATATTTTTGAAGAATTGATTTCTCATTTGGCTAAAATTGCTGTAAGTTGGAATTTTTTTTAAATCAAATATTTTGTGACCATCTTCTAGATGGTCAGAAACTAAAAGTGCTATAATTCTTATGGAGCATCCCCTCGTCTTTTAAATTTTGTTCAGTATTTTGATTTATCCCACTTGATTTTTTCAACTATATTTTATTATCTTTCCTTTTCCTCGAATAGTTTTTGCCGGTTTTGTAGTTTTTTAAGGGCCAGTTAATTCCTTTTAGATTCTGGATCCTACCATACTTCATTTTGAGTTAAAAAATTCATGTTTAATTTTATAATTTTTAAATAATTTTAAGTCAAGCTATTCTTCGGACCCTTCATCTCCCACACATGGTCAACAAATTGCAAAAGATCGTGAGAAACGGATGCGTGAATTGGCGTTGAAATGTTTAGTTAAGGCTTTAAAATGTCTGGTTGCCTGGTATGAAGATATGGAAATTGGGAAGGAAGTATCTATTCAATATCCAGCAGAAGAACAACAACAGCCTCTTCAACTTTTTAGTGAAGGAAACGCTGCTGATGTTAATCAAATTGTTCAGGTTTTTATTTAATTTTAGTTTATATATATCAATAGTAGCCAATATTCAAAGAATTTTTATTTGCCCAAGCCTTTTTATTTGGGCATGCCATTTTTAATTGGAGTTGACTGATCCCGAGAAAGTCTGAATATTCAAATTTGTCATTCGATTCTACTTTGTTACCTTTCTAGCTATTGCCGAATAATATCCTCTAATACTTCAGGGTTTCGATTAGGGTAAATCGAGCCTGTATTTTTTTGAATATTAACATTACTTTTAATTAATTATCGCTAAAATTCTATATTATATTACTTTCAATTTTTCAGGTCAAACAACAAAAAAGCCTTATCGAATCAGGCATTGATTTATTCGCTAAAAAGCCAGCTCAAGGCCTCACATTTTTACACTCAAAAGGCTTCATTGGCACCGAACCAGAAGATATAGCAGCATTTTTTCATGCTGAGGAACGTTTGGATAAGTCAGTTATTGGCGATTATCTCGGTGATGGAGATTCTTTTAACCAAAAAGTTATGTATTCTTATGTTGATACTTTTGATTTTTCTGGTGTTAATATTGTTCAAGCTTTGCGTACTTTGCTCAATAAATTTAGACTTCCCGGTGAGGCTCAAAAAATTGATAGAATAATGGAAAAATTTGCTAGCAGGTTTTGCTTTGAATCTTTTTCTTATTAAACTTAATTTTAAAGATATTGTGAATGTAACCCTCAATTAAAAATTTTCGCTTCTGCTGACACTGCCTATGTTCTCAGCTATTCAATAATTATGCTCACTACAGATTTACACAATCCACAAGTTTTAATTTTTAAAAATTATTTTTCAAGAATCATTTTTCTTTAAGGTAAAACGTAAAATGCTTAAAGAAGAATATATTCGAATGAATAGAGGAATAAATGGACAGGATGACTTACCTGACGAATTTTTATCTAAAATATATGATGATATTTCTGCAAATGAAATAAAAACTAAACCGGGGAATTTGAAAAGACCAAAACTTAGTAAATTTTTATTTTTGAATACATATTCTTTCTGTTTTTAGACTCTGAAACAGCAACAATTAGACAAAGAAAAATGTTTCAAAATTTGGAATTGGAATCTATTTCTCAAGTAGCCCATTCTCTTATGGAGGCGGCGACATTTACTCATGTTGAATTTACTACAGCCAAACATTTTGAGCAAGTTCAGTTAATGTTTGAGGTAATTTTAAAATATTTTAAGAAGCCCCTTAAATAATAAAAATATTTAACTTTAACTTTTCAAGCTTATTTGGTCTTTCTGTCTGGCCGCCTTCAGTATTGGCCTCCAATCTTCTGAAGACCCTGCAATATGGCGGTGTTGTCTTCAAGGATTTTCTGAAGGTGTTCGAGTCGCTTGTCTTTTCAGACTAAAAGTGCAACGTGAGGCTTTCGTCCAAGCACTCACAAAATTCACACTTTTGACTGCAAACAGCTCTCTCTCAGAAATGCGACCAAAAAATGTGGAAACAATAAAGCTTTTAATCCAAATTGGTGTTGAGAATGGAAATTATTTAGAGGTTGGAAAAAATTTTTTAAATATTTAATTTTATAAAATTTAGCAATGCTGGTACGATGTTCTAAAATGTATAAGTCAACTTGAACTTGTTCAATCAATCAGCACGGGCAACCATGGTATTATATTTTTCGTTCCCACCCCTCGAAATCTTTAACAATACGAAATATTAGGGGTGGGGATAATCTAAAAATTAGAAATTTTTACGATAAAAAGAAATTTTGTCTTCTTGGTCGGCAATACATAGAAAGGAATATTCGTTTTTCCAGACAAAATTTATTTTTAGTACCTCCTCTTTCCTCATGAATTTTTCTGGATATATTTTGATTTTTAACTTACCTGCTAGTATGTCGTTCTCATTTAGAAGTTTAAAGTTGGAAATGTTATCTGTCAAAGTTGTAGTTTTTTAGGGCATTCTTTCTTTATAAAATACTTATTTTTAATTTCGTGCCAGAAAGGAGAGTTCCTCTTATAGTTTTAGAAAAATACCCTATTCAATGGCACAGAGACCCAATCAAGCATCCAATAGTTTATTTGGAAGATCAATTAAATGACCAAATTCAAAACTTCATTTTCATTAAAGACAATGTAAAAAGCCTGTTCAATATTCGAGAAAAGTCCATTCATGCTGTTCAGAGTTGTTTAGATGAAACTTCTTCTCAAGATGTTGTTGTGGCAATTGACAGGTTTTTTTTTGTTTATTTTTAAAATTATTTTTTTAATTTTTTTCAGAATATTCCAAGACTCTTCTAAATTAACTGGAGATGCAATTATTCAATTTGTGCGTGCTCTCTGTCAAGTTTCACTCGAAGAATTATGTAGCCCTGGGGGTCCAAGCATGTTTATGTTACAAAAAATTGTTGAAATTTCCTTCTATAATATGAACAGAATTCGAATAGAGTATTTGAAATTATTTTATTTTGATTTAAAAAATTAATTTTTAAAGATGGTCGATGATTTGGAACGTTTTGGGAGAACACTTTAATTTGGCTGGATGTTCTTCTAATGGAAATATTTCACATTTTGCATTAGAAGCTCTTCGACAATTGTCAATGAAATTTTTAGAGAAAGGGGAATTACCAAACTTCCGTTTTCAAAAAGAATTTTTACATCCTTTTGAAGGTTTAATTTTTTAAATATTTTTATTCGAAAATATTTTTAAATTTAGTAATTATGGATCGAAACCGTTCTCTCGCCTGTCGTGAGATGATTGTTACTTGTGTCACCGTAAATAATTTTTTCTGACTGAATAAATTTTGAATAATTTTTATTTTTAAGCATATGGTTCACTCTCACGCAGACAAAATTCGTTCGGGTTGGAGAAATATTTTTTCTCTTTTCAGTATGGCTGCAACTGAAAAAGATGAACGAATAGTCGAACAAGCTTTTACTACAACTGCAGAAATTATTGGTTTTTTAATTTTTTGTGGCTAACATTTTTTAAATTTTTGAAGGTGATGTTTTTCCCAAACATTTTGCCGAATTATCTCCTGACTCTTTCCATGACGCGATCAAGTGTTTGTCAGGATTTGCTTGCAATCCAGCGTTTCCTGATACCAGCATGGAGGTTTTTTTTTGAGAAATAATATGTAAAGAAATTTCTTTTTTTAGTCTATTCGATTAATTCGTCTAGCTGCTGCTCTAGTTGATAAACACTCAGATTTGATAAATGCAAATTGGGGAAGCAATAGTGGAAGGCCCGAATCTTTTAAAGATTTGTCAAGTACTGGTTAGTAATTTTTACATAAAATTTTTTTCAAAAAAAAATTCTAGAGGGTCATCCAATTTGGATCAAAGGATGGCTTCCTATAATATTTGAACTTTCCTGTATTGTTAATAGATGCAAGCTAGACGTCCGTACTAGAAGTTTAACAGTTTTATTTGAACTTGTAAAATCTTATGGTGCAAAATTTGGAGATGATGCTTGGACTGACTTTTTCAAAATAATTTTTAGAATTTTTGATTTTGGAAAAATTGATGAACTTGGAAATGAGGTAAATTTAAAAAATAAAAATTATTTTTTATTAAATAAATATTTGTAGTCAACAGGATATTTAAAATATTATTTTGATGATTTTGTTTTGAGAAATTCTAAAGAAAAAGATAATTTTTATTCAAAGGAAAATAACAATAGTATAGGGAAATTTATGAAAAATTCGATGAAGGGAAAAGGGGAAATTAAAATAAAAAATAATTTTATTTGGAGGAGACTTAATAAAGAACAGGTAAGGAATTAAAAACTGAAAAAATGTTTTTCTTGGATGGGTGGATTTGAAAGATGAAAAAATTTTGAGGGGAAAGCGGTGCCTAGCAGTACCATTTTTCTTATTTATGCATCTATTAAGTAGAATTTTTCAATTTTTTTAGAAAAATGAATGGATGATTACAACATGTAATCACGCACTCTACGCTATTGTTGACGTATTTTCTGAATATTATATATCGTTGGGTCCTCTACTTTTACCAGAAATTTATAAACAATTATATTGGTGTGTGGAACAGGGAAATGAATTACTTGCCCGATCAGCTATTAATTGCCTCGAAAATCTTGTAGTTTCAAATGGAAATAAATTTAATAAACAAATGTGGGATCAAACAACTGAACAATTAATTAGAATATTTGATTGCTCTGTTGTTGATGTGTATGTTTTTTTAATTTATTTGAATTTATTGGAGAAATTATTTTTAGAGATTCAACTGAATCTCTGACTAATGCTCATCCAGCAAAGTCGGCAATGGCTTCTGCAACTAATTCACCTTCTACAACACCAAATGATGAAGGGTGAGAATTTTTTAAGCATATTTTATAATTTGGAGAAAATTATTTCTTTAACCCCGGGTGAGGAAATGGCTGCCACTGAAAATCTTTTGTTTTTTTTAGCACATAATTTCCATCCCCTACAATTCATTATCATTAGTTCATTTACTTACAATTAGTTAGGCATTCCTTTTCTCTAAAAATCTTAAAAAATCTTTTTAATTTACTAATAGTTGTGGCAGTTTTGAGGATTGTGTTTTACTCTCATCAATAACCCGTTGTATTATTCAACTTGAGGTTTTCTTTTTTCTCAAAATTAATTTATTATTTTTCCTTCCTTTTAAGGTTGTAGATGCAGTTTCTAACATTCTTTTTGGTAGAAATGCATTCAAAGTAGAGCCACCAGCAAAAAGGCCTTCAAATACTTTCACTAATGAAAGGGGAGGAAATGGAGGGGGAGAGGGCCGTTCAGAAGATTCTTTTTCGATTGGTGAATTGCCGGTATTTTTTTTTTAGTTTTTAAAATAATCTCTACAAATTTCTTCAGTCAATGTTCCAATACCTCTCTACAAAAAATTTAATGTGCCTTGCCGATGCTTTATTGAGAAGTCATTCAATGGCTCGTCGCCTTTCTTCAAATACTACAGCTCAAAGAAATTTACTTTGGAAAGCAACATTTAAAGGACGATCAAAGCCTAATATGCAAAAATTGGAGGCACATTCAATTCATTGTGCATTAAATATTCTTTTCCAACTTTATGCTCAATCGTCAAATGGAGAACCTGAAATTGTTGAAATGTTTAAAAAACAACTTCAAAAGTAATTGAAAAAATAAATTGTTTAATAAAAAATTTTTTTCCTTTTAATTTTAGAACAGTAAAGTACGCTTTAGAATATTATTTGACATCCCATTCAGACACTTTTCGTTCTTATTGGTTAACAGGTAAATAAATAAAATTTGTTTTTAAAATTTATAATTTTTTAGTTGTACAAATGATTTTAAACAGAACTTGTGATTTACCTAATGATCGGTTTGCTGAATTGGGGGTTGAATTTAGACTATCTCTTACTTCATTGATTGAGTCTGAAGAAGTAAGTTTATAAAAATATTTAGGAAAATTCTTTGAAAAATAAGTAGAGGAAATTCCTTTAGTTAACTTTGCCTTTTAAATTTTAAGACTGGAATATTAATGTAAAAAAGGGAAGATTCAATTTGTTATTATTTAAAACATGGGTGTTTAAGTTCTATATGGGGTAAACTTGACTCGATAGTTCATATAGATTCAACCGGTCCTTTGTTTTTTTAATTTCCCCTAATTTATAGGGCTTCAGATAGATAAAATACTCATACAAATACTTTTTCTATTTTTAGCAACCAATTATTCGGAGTGCCTTACATCGTGTTGTTCAACGATTTATTACTCATGAACATCCCAATTCTTCAATAAATACAATTTCTTAAAAAAATTATTTTTAGAACAACGACTTTATTTAAAATTCTATTGTTTTCTTGTGTATTTTTTGTGAAATCTATCTATATCTATCTTTGGCACTTAACTAATCTACCTTTCATAAAATTTGGACTATTCATTCCTTTTGTGTCAAAACATATTTTTCAAATATTATTTTTTAATGTGACAACTGGCTTCTAAAAATATTTATTTTCTTGTATTGTCTGTTCATAAATAGTAGAAATTTTAAATAATTATTTAAACCCCAAGTAGTTGATTAATTAATATATTAATTAATTTAATATTATCCCAATTATTTCTTTAAAAAGTTGGGGTATTTCCGTACCAGAAAATTTCGACTAAATTTTGTTTTTGGGAAAATGAACACTTAACCAATTACTTGGAAAATATTATATTTATTATTTTAATGGTTTTATTAATGTCGATTTTCCTGATTAATAAATTGACAAAATTTTTGCGATTTTTAAAAAATATCCGCAAAACTTTCAAAGCCATAATAATTTTGTAGAATTTAAAGAATTTATTGTTTCACCACTGTGATTAAAATAAAAATTTTTTTCATTGTTCTTCCATAAATTTTTCTTTATTTCTGCCCTTTTCTTACATATTTTACATATAAATTCCTAATATTATCAAAATATAAATATACATATTTTAAATTAATTTAAAAAATAAAGAGGAAATAATTTATATATTTTTATTATTGTAAAATACAGTTAACCCTCAAAATACACTAAGGCTGAAAAATCGTGCCTTATATGGAGGTATTTTAAATAGTGGATATCTCTTAAACACTCCCTCACAATGATTAACTAAGGGGATCTCTCCGGGCAGTTCTCCCACCCAAATTGAGGAATAATGGGTACTTTATAATTGTCTAAAAAATTTGTAAAAATATTTTTTTCTCTAAAATTTAAATATAATCATTTGAATATCCATTACATTCATTCCAGTTTTTCCAATTTTAACAATATTTCTTCCTTCATTAAATTCACTCCAAAATTGATAAGAACGTTTTTCTTTTAATGCCGATTTTACTTTTGTGGAGAGGGAAGAAAGTTGTTCTGTTGATTTGTTTAGTAAATCTTCCCTACAAATAAAGGCTCCTGCTGCATCTGTTGGGCCATCCTTTATTTTAAAAATTTTTTGTTAGAATTTTTATAAATGAATTTGTGAGGAGAGAATTTTTAACTAGCGGTTTCTTTAGGAGGCGACATTATTGGAAGTATATATATTATCGCTCAACACAAAACTTTCTTTCCTTTGAAGACAATAATTTGACTATCACTTAAAGGGGTGTCATTAATTAATCAAAATAATCAACAACACCTGTCCATCAGTTCCCAAACTTGTAAAAACAAACTCCAATCCATTCAAAATTTGTTTCTAAAAATTCTTTTTATTTATTAGTTCTATTTAGAGAACCTTCTCCTCTTCTTCCCCCAATAAAAGCAATTCATTTAACACAGAAAGCACCATTTCTTGATTTCTACCACCTTTGGCTTCGGGCAAAACTTGACTCGAATCAAAACAAACTGTCGATTCACCACCAAAGATTAACACAATTTTATCGTTTTTTGAGATATTTATATTCTGAAAGAAGCGTGATTTAATAGCGAATTATAATGCCTCTCTAAATTATAGGAATGGGATTATTCACCGAAAAATGTTCTAGGCTTTTCGGTGAATTGTTCAAAAAATTTTTTTAACGTTAAAAACACAAACAGAAATATCCACATTTACTGGAAATTCTTCTTTCAAAAAGTTGGAGATATCCAAAGCCAAATGCTTGGCTTGAGTTGCTAATTTAACCAATATTCTCGCCATTGATTGACCCAGTTTTGTTGCATTTCCTTCTAAACAGTTTGTAACAATTATTGGAATAAATCCAGTAGAGTTTAAATGAGCAGACAATTCCTAATTTAAATTTTAATTGTTCAAAGAATCCAAATTCTATCCTCTCTCAGATATCCCACCCTCCAACTTATCCCACACATGAATATTAATAATTCTCTCAAACATCCCTCATCTACCGTATCCAAATCCCCCAAATATCTCTTCAAGTAAAATTCCCCCGAAAGGGAGGGATAATACAGAGAGATTCTAATTAAAATCAAACTTTCAAAATCATCGAATTATTTGCCACAATTACATTTAAAATATTCACTTCTTTTTCTTTTATTTTTTCCTCCCTTTGTTCCAATAATTTAATAATTTTCTGTCCAATTTGTTCTCTTTTTATTCCCAATTTATTTATAATTTCCATTGGTTCTCGACTTGATTTATTTAAAATAACTGTTGGCCCACTAGAAATTAATTCTATAGGATCTCCAATTATATCAGAAACAATTAAGGCAATTTGTTGAGCTGGGCTAGCAAGTCGAGAAAGTCCACCACCTTTAATGATTCTTATTTTGACAATTTAAAAAAGGACATTCACCATTCTTTTTTTTACAAACCTTTAAGCCTCGAAAGCGCTTGTCTAACAACATTTAATTGTTTAATATCTGCCCCATAATTTTGAAGTAATTTAATAATTTCTAATTTATCTGCCAAAGTAATTCCATTAATTGGAGCAGGTAATAAAGCAGAACCGCCCCCAGAAATTAAAAACTAATTTTTAAAAATTTTATTTTTTTTGTCCATTTTCTACCAAAGAATTACCAAAATTAATTGATTTGGTTGGCCAATAAATTTAATAAAATTTTCAATTTGTTTTGTATTTTCTAATGCTTGTTCATCAGGCAAATTATTTTCAGCGCCAAAAAGGAATTGAGTTTTTAAATTATTTGGGATATTTGATCCGGTCGGAACAGAAGCAATTCCATCCACAAAGTGTTGACCAAGAATCTAATTTTTGAAAGGGAGGGGGCATTTTACTGATTGGACGATTCACAAAAAGGGAGAGATTTTGGGTGGTGTGAATAATCTTCAAGAAAGATTGCCTTTGGAACAATTTTGAAGAATAAAATAAAGAACTTCTTTAGAATTTCCCTTTCGCCCTCAAAAGAATCATAAGTGGGTTTAACTCATTTCAATCAGTAAATTGTCTAGACGGTGAATCGTCATTTTTTGTAAATCCACCTTTTCTGCCGTTTCAACCATTACAGGGGCTGCTTTTCCAATAGCCACCAAATGGACATTTTTATTTAATAAATAGAGTCTGTCAGCAACTTTTAATTGATTTCCATTTAAAGATAAACATTTATTTATATAAGCGCCCAATGTTGAACTATTTAAAGTTGTTTTGAATGCGGAAAGGCAGGGAATGAAAAGAGAAGAAGCTGCTTGTGAATATAAGAGTTGGGGGGTTTTCATAAATAATTTTTGAAGGGGGTAATCTAAAATAAGATAAATTCAATTTTTGTGATTCAAAATGTTGATGGCATTTATTAAATATGGCATTTTCAAAGTGACCATTTTAAAAATTAATACAAAATGTTTGAGGGAAAGTCAGACGACTTGGAAAAACATTTATCATTCTTCTGAAAGGTCAATCTCGTAAAAACTTCCCTTTCCCGTCTTTCTTCTGAAACTAAATATTTTCTAAAATATTTAAATATAAGGTCCCTCAAATCAAAAAAAGGCAACAACACAAACAAAGGAGAATCAATAAAAAAGAGAATTTTCTGCACATTTTTATGTTAAATATTTCTTTCCTTTTCCATTCTTTAGTCTTTGTATAACCTTTATGTAGATATTTATCTTAAAACATTGTTTTTACATAAATTTTGTTTTCGACAGATCAAAGATTACTAAAACTTTTTGTAGACATTAAAATATGCAAAAGTTTCTTTTAAAATTCCAATAATTAATGATTCAGTGTTTTGGTTGTGGCATTTTTTTGTTTAGATATTTTGAAAATACATTTTGATATTTTAGTGGATATTTAAATTTAATTGGAATTTGAGTCGAAATATTAAATTTTTTTTAATTTTTTTTTGTTTGTTTTTATTTTTGTTTTGTTGCTTTTGTTTATTTATCAGGGATGATAGGGATTGTTGACATTGTTTGTATATTTTAATATCAAATCGATCATTCACTTTTCTAAAGAAATTTTATTTTTCTTTTTAGATTTCTTTTTAGAGATTTTCAATTAAATTATTTCAATAATGTTTAATTCTAACATGGATACGAATACTACAAAGTTTTTTTCTCTTCTTTTTTAAACTTTAAAATTTTTTCCTAGCTCAATGGAACAGACAAAGAATTCTGCTAGCGATGAATTTAGTTCCTTTATTGACAAATTGGAACAACTTTGGGATAAAGTACATATGGAAGAGTTTATGCGTGAAGAGAGAAGGCAACAGATTTCTAACTTTCATCGCAAACTCCTTTCGGATCTTCTTACTGGCGAGGATAAGGTTTAAAAATTAAGTTTGTGCTCAACTAAACTTTTCTTTTTTTAGCTGGTTACGGAAGTTGGGGTTCATATTGTTGAGTATCGTAATGCAGTTAATGGCCTGAATCAATTATTGTGTGAACCTTTGTTTGATGAAAGTGCATACTTACCAGGATCCGTTTCTTTGGTAAATGAGGTTTTGTTGTCTTTTACGTCCTTTATTTTTTAAGTTGGAAGCTCTCAATGTTGAATGTAAGCGTTTGACGAAGAGACGTGATCAGGGATTTAAAGTCCAAAAGGAGTTATTTGATACTTATAAATTGGCCTGCAAACGTTTAGGTGAACAACCAGAAAATGTTGATGGACTTAACGAGCGGGTTTGTTTTTTATTGTTTTTTTTAGAGCTTATAGGTTCTGGTTTAAGATCTGGGTATTTCCTGAACACAGATCTCGTGCTTAAGTATTAGTTGCCTTCCTCATCTTCCCCTAGGTTTATGGCCCAAGTCTTTTCCTTGACTATGACTAAAGATTTTTTCTACATAAATTATATTTTTCAGTTCTTGTCCGCTTCTGAGTTGGAGGCCCTTCGCATAAGAGTTGCCGAATTAAAGAGAGTTTTGAATGAGCGTTTGCAAAAGCTATTTCAAT